TTTCAGCGTATGTATAAGATCAGGTCAGAAGTAAAAAAATAACTGATAACAATTTATGGGGAATATTGTAGATAAGGTGTCAGTTAAAGAAAACCGGAACGAACAAAATCTTTTAATATATATCAAAAGATATTTTAAAATTATGTAAATAATTTAAGCGATTATCGCATGTTATTATTGTCCACGTGTATATAACAAATAGTTACTTTCGTTCTTATATTCCAGTTAATATACAACAGAATTTAAGTCTCTGTTTGCTGCTAATATAGATAAAGTGTATATAAACAAAATATACATTAAAAAATACAAAATATCTATACTTTGCATTGCTTTTAAGAATGTAAAAACGCCAATATTGAAGAAACCGCATAAAATATTTCGTGATAATATATATTAAAATATAGTGTATTTTTTAATCTCCTCTTCAGTCCTTTATTATGTTTATCGAAGATAATATAAAATTTGAAGTCATAAGAAATTGACAAATTTCTCACAACTTGAGATTTTACAATTACTACGGCTGGTTGTTACACCAAACGCTATAAAAATCATAGTCGATTTTTATAACATTTTCGACTGTAGCGGGTTTTAAATCAACCATAGGGGGTACCTATTATGGAACACGTCGGAATGAATTCCGATCGGAATTATTCCGTTTTCCCTAGAAAACACAATAGAAAATCTAGAGAATAATAAAATAATTCCGATCGAAATCCATTCCAACTTGTTCCACGATAGGTGCCCTGAATTGGATTGCTTTGCTATTGGTTGACATTACATACTTTATCGCAATAGTAGAGCTTGCAGCGCCATTAATCCAAACTGGTTCAAAACCCGCTACAGTCGAAAACGCTTATATATTTAAGACTGTCTTATTTTAAACGGCGTCTACAATAAAATTTTAAGGTATAAAACTTCAGTCACAGTTGAATGTGAGGAAAATAATTGGCTACGATCGGTCAATTTCTTAGAGCTTGAGGCTTAAAACTTAAATTTTACACCTTAAAAGTTTATTGTAGACACCGTTTTAAATAGTCTTAAGTTGTCATGAATCAACCACAGAGCCGTATTAATTTATCTTATAAGTTATTGAAATTGTTTTATGCCTGTTTTTATATAAATTAAACTTTAATCTCGGTTCAATTTACTCTTTATTTTTTAAAATTCTTACAACTAGAAAAAAATAAAGAGTTAGTTAAACCAAAACTAAAATTAAACTGCATTGTAAAAATGGGCATTCAAGAGTCAAGTTTATTTATACAAATTATGAATACCGCACCGTTCTATGTATCTTCTAGGGTGCGTTCAAGAATTACACCTAGATAACTCTAAGGCTGATATTCATAGTCGGATCTTATATTTAAGACCATCTTAAGTACAGTCTTAAGATGTCACAAACCAATCAGAAGAAGCCAGTATTCAGTCGATTCTTATTTCAAGACCGTCTTAGGTAATGTCTTAAGATGTGCTAATGTGGCCCTCTGATTGGTTCGTGACTTCTTAAGGCCGTACTTAAGACAGTCTTAAATATAAGATCTGACTATGAATACCGTCCTCTAATTGGTTCGTGACATATCTTAAGATTATGCTTAAGACAATCTTAAAATAAGAACGGACTATGAATACCAATTCAAGCTATAGTTTACGTTAAGTATACTCACGAAGTAAAAAGAAGGAAACCAAACTCAAACGACCGGTTACGAAAAAATTGAACTCGATTTCTGGCTTCGGAAAAGCGCTGTACGGAAGATACAGATTCGAGCGCGCCTGTCGGAGAAAACCGTCAACTTAGAGGATTTGATAAATATTTTTCCTCTCGGTTTCCTATAATTTTATAAATTTGTCTATTTACATGCTTAGAATATATTCTGAGAAGGAAAGTTGTCGCTCAAGTCCCGTTTTTTTTAATTCAAAGTTTTTTTTATATCGGTAAGTTAAAAACTGCACGCATGTATATATTTTTCAATAAATATTAATACATTTATTTTTCAATCAAATAAAATTAAATTTTATACAAATTGGAATTTCTGTACTAAATATAAAACGTACATGCATTTGTATTTCGCACGTGTTATCTTGTGGTATATTCAACTTTTGCTACAATATCACTCAAATCATCCCGATTTTTCATGTGTTTTCCTAAAGGTACAATTTCATGCAGCGAAGCTTCGCTGGATGAGACTCCCTACTTCGTCGATTCGTGCGAAAATACGTAGCTAGCGAAACTTCGCTCAAAGTTCAACATTGTCCAACTATGAGCGAGGCAACGCTGACTATGGTCCACTTGATTGGCCAAATATTTCGAAGCATTTTTTGATTGGTCAATTTTTTTGAATTATCTGTTTAACGCTCTTTATTCACAGCATTATGGCACGATCCCATGGTGCGTAATTGGCGAAGTTGGCGAAACGTTCGTGATTGGTTGTGGCTTCATTCCGCCGAATCCGTTCCGCTGAAATGTATTTTACTATATCCCATTGAGCGAAATTTGCGGAATGCGCAATTAGCTCTGACCAATCGCAAGAGTCTTCCCGTAGATCACTTTCATAAAGCTGTAAACACAATAGACACAGGCAATAGGCACAGGCAACAGGGAATAACGAGCCATCCAATCAGAGCTTTGGGGTATAAGTTCGATATTATATCCCAGAGCTCTGATTGGACGGCTCGTTATTCTCTGTTGCTTGTGCCAATTGCCCTTGTCTATTGTGTTTCCAGCTTTAGATCTACCAGAATGGGTGGCACCTAGTTGGACAGGGCTCAACTGGACACGAGCCACTCACAGCGCTTGAGATTACAAAGCTCCTAAGCACCGGTCGCTGTGATTGGTGGTGTCCAATCGAGCCGTGATCAATCGGGATTACCCCTATTCCGAACACGCCTTAACATATAGGTTAACTAGGGTCCTAGATTTATTAGAGAGGCGCAATCGGTGTTATGCATTCTGATTCGATGTTGCAATCTAACTAATTGCGTGACTTGGCAGCCATTTATAGTACTAGTGACACATTTCTATTTCATTTTATCCTATACATTCTCTCACATTATCCTACACGTCTTATCTTGTCTGACATAGTTTAAAGGCAGTTTCATAGCATGTCGGCCATGTTTAGTACTCTCCTTAGGCCGGAATCAGATTATGCATTGAAGATTGAGATTAAAGATTAAAGATTGAAATTTCACCGATGAGGACAAAGAAATTTTTTTTTCTTTTGTTCTGATTGATCAAACTTCAATCTTTCAATCTTCAATCTTATTCTTCAATGCGTAGTCTGATTCCGGACTAAGACGATCTTGAAATAAGAATCGATTATGGCCTAGTTTACACCGGCGGTTCGATCCAGGTCAGAATGCAAGAATCAACCAACTGCAGTCGAGCATTCCCCTGTTATAGTCGAATGACAAGGGAATGCTCGACTGCAGTTGGTTGGTTCTTACATTTCGACTCGAATCGAATCCTCGGTGTAAACTAGGCCTATGAATATCGGCCTATGATTCGAATATAAGGCTGCATTTTCACCTGACGCTACGATGCTTATTTTCAGCGTCAAAACAGGTCACATGATCAAAATTGACGTTTGATATTCGTCAATTTTGATCATGTGACCTGTTTTGACTCTGAAAGTGAGCGTCGTAGCGTCAGGTGAAAATGCAGCCTCATGCTGGATTCACACTGTATCCGATTTGCGTCGTACGAC